ATAATTGAGCTCTGGTCCTGGCTTTCTAGCCGTTTCCGAGTAATACTATAATATATCAATATCAGGCGCATTTTATTACTAAGCTTTTCTCTTAGTAAGATGCGGGGTGGTCTGTGTGTTCTTGTTTTCGTGAGTGAGACGTGTTCAAATTAGCTACTTTCCCAGCTTCTAGCTCTATAGCGCGTGGGCTGCACGACTTGGCACTAGTTGCAATCGATTTCTTGGGATGGATTTGTATATATTGAGCTAAAATTACACCTATTCTAGAAAACTCGAAGTTGGTGTGTCCTTAAACGTCTAAGGCGTCTCCTTATTATTAGATTTCTTAAATCTAGGTTGTTCCTAGGCAGCCTTATAAGTAATCTTATCTACTTAGAGTCTTATAATTATAATCCCTCCTCCCCCCCCTTCCCCCCCCCTTCCCTCCCTCCCTCCCCCCGATCTTCTCCATCGCTACTCGGCCGCCATGCCAGCATACAAGCCTTCATCTTTACTCAAACAAAACTTTGCCGGGAATCCGTCCCTTTGAAATTGAATTAGCTAGAGCTCATAAACTACAAACGGGCCTGGCCGGGCCCGAGTCGGATCGGACCGTACGGCGGGCCGGGCCCGGCCCCGGCGACTCAGGGCCGTTTCACGCCGAGCCCAAAGCTCGAGTTTTTTCAGAAGTTTTAAATTCATTTGAAATTTACATGTTTTTAAAGCTGAAATTATCATGTGTAGCCCATGCTAAGGGTTCGATATTTCATAACAAACATCCCGGTATTTAAAGGCTATCATACAACCTAGGCTCCCTTTCAATCTGATTTCAAACGATTAGTTTGACCAACTGTAGCCTCCACCCACCCCTTCTTTTGTTGAATTAAATTAAGGGTACTCATTTTGCTGACAAACTCGACCGCAACGGTTCACCATCTCGACCTTTGGAATTAAATTGTACTTTTATGTCATTGGGCCAGATGATTTCAATTTGTTTGAGTAAAAATAGTACCACGCTTGCTGACAAACTCGACCATTGGGCTCGGCGTGAAACGGCCCTCAGTCGTCACGGACCCCAGCCGGCCCGGGACTGCAATGCACTCTCACTCGGATCCAGACTCCAGACAGTTCGTTCGGAAACTTCTTGATTCGGAACCCGGATTGACCGTCACTGAAAGCGTCAAGGACGGAGTAGCCGAAATTGTAATATTTAGATTTCAAATCTCCAAGAAAAATTTCAAACAATTGGTTGTTCACCCCCTATGAAAATTGAAGTCTCAAAGGCTCACTCTATCATCGGCCCCACCGTCAAGAAAGAAGTAAGAAATTAGGAGTGTATATTTGTGTTTTAAAGTAATACCGAGACGATAGAATCCGTACAATTTCCTTGATACAATTCTGGTATATGTAAGTGAATACTGAGGAAAGGTACCGAGTATATAAAACTTGTAGCCAAAGAATTGGTACAGAATGTAATTATAACAGTACAAAAATCTCGACCGCGGTAGTGAGCTAAATGTATTGTAGAATTAGTACAGTTTTTGTTGATTTATTATTACTTGTTGAAAGCGTTAGAAACCTGTCAGGAGGTCCACCCCTGGCTCTCAAGAGCCGTCGTGGGTGGGTTATTGAATGAGTGGGGGTAAGGGTCATCGAAATGAAAACAAGATTTCATTAGTTTCAAATATTTATCCCAGTACCCGTAAGTAGATGGGTAATTTTAGGGGTACTATTGTGCTATAGAGCTGAACATGGGCATTGAATTGACAGATGAATGTGAAATGTCTTTCCATGTTTGTTGCAAGGGTGGGTAGGAAGGGGTAGGGTGGAAGGGGTGGGGTTACAAAGAGAGAGGGGCGAAGTAGAGAGGGCAGGCATGCGGCACGCGGCTGTAGGATGATGATGGTGGAGAGGCGAGGAGGGACGAGGGAAGGAGGGAAGGGACTGCACTTGACAAGGAGGAGAGGATGGGAGTGATCACAGAGAGCTAGATCAGATCACGTGCGTCTTGAAGATGATCTGTATGTGTTCTTGATTGTTGAGGGATGTCAAGGACCAGGACAAATTCTGTTACGATTCACTCCCCTCGACTTCTTGGAACACATCTTTATCGTAGATCATCTCACATGGACCATGGAACGATGTTCTTGGTATGCCAATATTGTGCGCTGGTTGCCTTGGTGCAATGATTGAAGAAAGCTCGATAGAAAGAATTTCTGACTCTTACATCAAAAACACACGAGGAACGATATCACAGAATATGGAGGGCCTTCAGATTTTCCTGCTGATGTTGTCTCTTCCTGTCTGTCTCCCTGCCTTTTGTTGTTGTTGTTTGAACAATGAGGACCAGAACTTACCTGTACCAAAGACTCCCAGTTCTGTTGTGAGTGGACGTGGGATCTGAAACGAGTTATTACAGAAGAAATGCTTTCCAAGACTGTTGCTTTCTCGGCTGTGATTGCCTCTGCGGCTGCCTTCTCCCCCGCTTCCTTGTCCGGGCTTCCCACCTCCCGCACCGGAGCCACCAGGTATAGATGTGTTGTGATGTTGACTGCTTCCCGACATGTTCTTGTACTCCGGTCGTCTCCTGCTTGTCTTCACTTTCATTGACGCACATTCTTGCAGCACCTGCATGGCCAACCGCTTCCCCCAGGGCGCTCCCTCCGGCGCTCCTCCCGCCGATCTCTTCAACATCTGGAGGGACGACTATATGCTGACCCCTCAGGAGGCTGCTGCTGAGGTGATTGCCCTTCCCCTTCCCCCCTCCTCCTACTGCTCCTGCTCCTGCTCCACCTACTGCTCTTCCCACTGTTCTTCCTCATCGTTCCGATCCTGCTGCTGCTGCTCCTTCTTCCTCAGTCTCTTCATCTCCCTTCGACTCCTCCCAGTATCAGAACTCACTCGTATCGCAGGCTGCTGAGCGCAAGAGAAACACTCTCTTCGACGGCGTCCTCCCCCCATTCTCCAACATCGGCAACACCGAGCGTGGAGAAGGTGGAAGGGAGAATGCTTCTTCCACTAGAGGATGACTCTCCTGCAGACCTCGCCTCGCCCACCCTCCAGGGCTTGGGTGTCGCTCGTGACTTCTCCACCGCCAACCCCACCTCTGCCTACGACACCAGCTCCTTCGGAAAGGTCAGGAGGAGGAGGAGGGGGAAGGAGGAGGAAGTAACGTTGTTGCAGGCCGTCGTGATCAACCCGGACATCATTGCTAACCCCAAGACCGGAGCTGGTCCTGAGCAGGCTGCCTTTGCGAAGAAGGGAGTCAAGGTATTTGAACCACTGAAAGCTCCTTCCTCTCTTCTCCTCTCCTCTCCTCTCCTCTTGCTCCCCCCTGATCCTCCTCTTGGCCCGGCCCTCAAGCTTGCATTTCAGGCCCCCAACCCTGTTAAGAGATTCTTCGGAAGGAAGTAAACACTTTCTCTTTTCGTCCTACAGCAACAAGAACATCTCCCGAGATCTGAATAAAGAAGCATTTCTAGAACAAACTTCTCCTTCTCCTGATTGTTGTTGTTCTAAGATTGCACCGAGAAGTTGTATTCCCATGAAACGTGTCACGATCTCACTAGTCTACTTCTCCTTCTCCGCCTTGATGGTTGCAACCTGAACAATGTCATAGCAAATATCAAAAGCTTGCTTGACAACCTTCTTCGACAAGGCCACAATCGCCTCCTTAACAGCCTTGCGTTCGAGGACGGGTTGCTGTGAAGCGAGTGAGCATGGAGTAGATGAGAAGTTCTTGCCAACCTCGAAGGGAATGCGAAGAACACCTGAGTCAGATCCCCTTGCAACCCTACACATGTAAGTTAGAAGAAGATGACGACGATGGAGATGATGATGATGATGATGATGATGATGATTAAGATTGAGACACAACACAAATTATTCAACTTCATGTCGGTCACCTGACATCAAACCCGAGCTTGTCAAGTCGCTTCATCTCGATCTTGTCGATGGGATCCTGGCAAGGAATCGATAAGGTTTGTAAAGAGATGGTGAACGGGATCTAGGCGGCGGAGGATGGGAGCAGGGAGCAGGAGGGAGGAGGGAGGAGGGAGGAGGGTAGAACATGATAAGTTGAAGGATCAAGTTGTTCTAGTTTACCTCCACACCCACGATGTACTGCACGTATTCCTTCAAGGCGTCTACGTGATCCTGAGGAATGTGAGAGAAGGACAGGAGGTATGCGAAAAGAGGAGGAGGAGGAGGTGGTGGTGGTGGTGGGAGGAGGAGGAGGAGGAGGGAGGAGGA